TACTCTTTATTTGTGTGTTGTTTTTTTGCAGTGTGATGCTTTTATAGGATTTTGTATTTTAGCTTATAGAATCCCTGGACATGCTGCAAGTCTATTCTAAAACAATTATTTGCAACTGGTTGTTTAAGAAATCAAAATTTTAAATCCTACTTTATAAAAGTCCCATGTGTTTGGATTAGTGCCTGAGAGACATCTGATTAACTGAGGAGTTTAACTGTTTGTAGGTATTATGCTCTGAAATCTCATCTCATCTCCTGCTTCACCACTCTCTGTGTGTACTCAACAAAGCATGATGAAAAGTCCTGGGGAAACTTTCCCATTTTGCAATATATTTTGGTTGATCTTTGAAAAAGGTTTTACTCGACTGTTTTGAATTTTTTTTCTATGAATGAACCACACAGTCTTTGTGCATTATTCAAATCAGGAACTCTGAAGAACTAGCCAATGAGAACAGAAAGTTTGAAAGCAATCTTTATGGCTACTGCTGCTCTAAACTTCAGTTGATGATTGGGAAGTCCCTGTTTTTGTTTTACACATCCTCAGAAGAGTGGATTTGGCTTGGGGACCGCATACCTTCAGGACTGCCTACTCCTGTATAAATCTCCCCAAACACTCTGGTCATCTTCAGAAGCCCTGCTTCAGGTTCCCCACCCTCTGACGCTAGATGGGTGGCAACCTGTGAGAGGGTCTTTTTGGTTATGGCACCCAGACTTTGGAATTCCCTCCCCAGAGAGCTTCAGTTGTCTCCTTCTTCTGCTAATGGGTGAAGACCTTTTGTTTGTGTTCTTCTGGCCCTCCTCCCTATTTGTGTGTCTCTGTTGATATGTTTTAATTGTTTAAAGTGTTTTATCAAAATTAAAACAGCATATCTATCTTTCTGTCTGTTTAAATGCTGTCTTAAATTTTGATTGTTTGCTACTTTGGGGGCCCTAAATTGGGTAGAAGGGAGGCATATAAATGTTTTAAATGAATGAATACATAAATAAAAAGAAAGTGGTGAGGCCCCCACTCAACAAAATTTGTGGAGATCATTGTTTGTTCCATCTATACTTGTGGAAATTTATATCTGCATATGCTCAGTGGCTCTGTTATTGACTTCATATGATTCACAATGGACATTAGAAATGGGTTATGGGATGGCAGCTTTGGTTTAAAATATTATGTTTGTTCCCCTGATCAAGGATGACAAACATGGTCTGTAGGCCTTATCAGTCCCCTGAAGGGTTTCCAAGGGACCTTGCAACAGCCTTACCTGCTTCCCACACAAATTATGAAACCATCTGCCAGGATGGCATGTAGATCTGATACTCCTATACTTGACTTTGGGGAGATAGGAATGTTCAATACTGTGATCTCTAGAGAAGCCATGATAAGAACATAAGAGAAGCCAATGTTGGATCAGGCCAATGGCCCATCCAGTCCAACACTTTGTCACACAGCGACAAAAAATTCCAGGTGCCATCAGGAGGTCCACCTACTAATGCTTAAGGACAGAAAACTTGCCAGAAGAGCAGGGAACGTTTATAAACATTAGGCTGTAATTAATTTATAGTTTCATAGCAGATTCAGGTGGCATTGACCATTACAGTGCACAATTAAAGGCACAGCCTGGGAGTACCTGTTTGTGGCATCCCAAGTTTGACACTTCTGACCTGATAGCAGTCAAAGCAGAAAAAAACCAGCCATCTTATCCAATAACAATGCCTTTGCTTTTGGTAAGATGACTCAGGAATAATGTACCAGCAGATTGTGGGTTTTTTCTTTCGCCCACGTCTGCCGCCTGCTGCTGCTATCATTAGGCCTTAAACCTGTCATTCCTGTCAGAATTTTTTCCCTTCAGATAACACACAAAAATCGCCTTTGGGAGTGTCCGAGGTTTTGGGTAAGCACTTGCAGATGTTGTTAATACAAGAAAGAAAGTCATTTTGAAATAAAAAAACACCCTAAATAGTGGTTTGGATCCAACAGAGCATTTACACAGGTAGAATAATTTCCATCCATGGAGTGCAACTTTCCCCCCCACACACACACACACCACTGTAATTCAAAACTCCCCCATCCGTACACACTTCTGGAGGCATTTTGGGCTACTGAAGGGGAGAGAGTATAAAAGTCATGCTTCTCAGGAGGAAGTTCTTCTGCCCATGAAAACAAAGTTTGGGATCCAAACCAGCATATAAATTTCATATTAGCACAGCAGAGAGATTTAAGCAAGATCCAGTTTGAGTTTTGCCTGTGAAAATGAAGGCTGCGATTCCCACAATGCTTAAGCCAACTCATCTTTCACATTACACCAAACACGGCCATCCTTGCCCCCTCATGGAGACTCGAAAGCCTGTAATCATCTTTTTTTTAAATCTATGAATTATACCTGAAACAGTGTACTGTTTTGTTCTAGAAAGGCCAATTTTATTTTTTTTTGCCATCAAGTCACAGCTGACTTATGGTCAGTGATCCCTCTAAGCTGAGTGTGAGCTAGCTCACAGTTTCTTAGCCTCCGGCTCACACATTTTTGTCTTAGCTCAGGGAGGAGGGCTCCAGAGCAAACTAATTGAAGCAGGAGCCAAACCACTTGCTCACAATTTTAATGCCAGGAGCTCACAAAGTAGAATTTCTGCTCACAAGACTCCACAGTTTAGAGGGAGCATTGCTTATGGTGACCCTGGAGGGTTTTCAAGGCAAGAGATATTTCAGAGGTGGCTTGCCATTGCCTCCCTCTAAGTCATGGCCATGGTATTCCTTGGTGGTCTCCCATCCAAATACTAACCAGGGCCGGCTCTGTTTTGCTTCCAATATATGCCTCTTACTACCCCTCACCTACCCTTGTCCATGAGAGGGAAGCAAGAATAACAATAACAGTAATAACAACAATAATAAATAACAATAGCAATGACGACAATTATTATTGTTGCGGTTGTTAAGAAAATTTATATCCTGCCTTTCTGCCCTTATGAGGGCCACCAAGGTGGCTAACAATTTAAAACAAGGGTGTCAAACGTGCAGCCTGGGGCCTGGATTAGGCCCCAGAGGGCTTCTATCAGGGCCACAGTGGAACTGGCTTTCTTCTGCGTCTTCTTCCAGTTCTGCTGCTGCCGCATCATTGTATGTTTGCAGCTTACAGATACACACCTCAACAGCATACTGAAGATTGCAACAGCACAGACATTTTGATGCAATAATTCAGAGCAAGAGGTGTCAGTTATCAGACACTGTTAAATAAACAAAATATTGCAAGAGTGCTAATGTTTTAAGCATGTTTTTTATTTTAAGTAAAAAAAACCTCCACCTTTGTGTCTTTTATAAAGTTTATATCTCCGCTACCTGGCATTACATTTTACGACACACATGGCCTGACCCAACAAGGTCTCATAACAAATGAGTTTGACACCCCTGATTTAAAACATGCAAGATAAAATTACATTATAAAACAATTAAAATCAACACCCCCCCAAACATACATCATTAAAACAATTTCTAAATGAGTTAATAAAAACATAGTTAATAAAACACATACAAAACCTAAAAGCAATGGTAAAGAAGGTGGGATCATGGAGGGAATGCGAAATGAAACAAAAACAAGTAGGAAACAGAAGGGGAGCCTGGGGGAGAGAAAGCTGAACTCAGAGGGCAGCCACTAGGATTGCCAGTTGTGTGTGTGTGTGTGTGTGTGTGTGTGTGTGTAGGGGGGGTAGCCTGTGCCTTTAACAGAGGATCTGAGGGAAGTTATTAACCAGGTGATGTTATTTACCTCCATGCCAGTAAAAATGTTAGCTGCCCATTTCCACACACCAGCCCTTTATTCAAGGGACAGGATGTTCTTCTCCAAGCACATGGGCAATCCCAGCAGCCACAGATATCTTGGTGCCACCCAGAGGTCATTGCTTCCGGCCGCCCTGCTTCCGGCCCTCATTCAGCCAGGAGGAGGCAGGAGAAGAGGGAGGGTAAGTTGCTTCCTCCCTGCCTCTCCCCACCCCTGCCTGCCTGGGGCCAGGGAGGGCCTTCGCGGGGCTTCCTTGCACTCCCGCCGGCCTTGCAGGTCCACCGCCGGGCCCCTCATGGGGCTCGGCAGTGGAGCTGCAAGGCCGGCGGCGGCGGCCGGGGCTATTGGGGGCGGGGTGTGTGGCCTTATGACACACTTCCGGTGATGTCAGGGGGTGTGGCATATGCTAATGAGTTATGCTAATGAGTTCCCCTAGCTCTTTTTCTACAAAATGACCCCTGGTGCCACCAGAAAAATGGCCAATGGTGACCAGTGTTCCCTCTAAGCTGAGTTAATGTGAGCTAGCTCACAGGGTTTTTTTAGCCTCCAACTCACACATTTTTTTCTTCGCTCAGGAAGGATGGCTCCAGAGCAAACTAATCTACACAGCAGCCAAATCGCTCACTCACAACTTTAATACCGGTGGCTCACAAAGTAGAATTTTTGCTCACAAGACTCCACAGCTTAAGAGGGAGCATTGACGGTGACCTAGTTGGTTCAGGTCCAAAAGTTGAAGGACATTTCATTCAGATTAGCTATCCCTCTGATATCAATCAGTAGAGGTTTGTTCAGGTCACATTTTGATTAATCACATTCGAATTAATCAAATTCACCAGTGTGGTTTAGTGGTTTGACCAGGATCCAGGACAGCCAGTTTCAAATCTCCCTCTGCCATGGAAGCTTGCTGGGTGATCCTGGGCTAGTCATTCTTTTTGAGACTATCTCACAGGGGTGTTGTAGGGCTGATGAAGAGGGGGAGAATGGTGCTGTAAGCTTCTTTAGGCTCCCATTGGGCAGATAAGTGGGGTATAAGCATTGACATTCTGCCTTGAAAGCCCTACGGGGTCACCATATCTCAGCTGTTACTTGATGGCACTTTCCACCACCAAACATTGAAATTATTAAATAAACAAAAGCATCTCTCTGGTCATTTCCAGGGGCCAAGAACCAAAGCTGTTGGACAAGAGAATCCTGGAGGATACTTGGACATTCCACAGAGCAAAGCGTCAGTCAGTCTGACCTGTCTCTCTGACAATCCCAGTGTGGCTGCTAGCTCCGCTTTCCTCCGGATGGTGATGTAGCGGCTGTAGTGAAACTCCTTCTCCAGCTCCAGGCGCTGGTGGTCTGTGTAGACCACACGGTACTTATCTTTCGTCCGGGTTTTCACTGGGGAGACAGACAGTCACAGGTCAGTGTCAGGAAGTACACTGGCAGCATCATTTTCAGGAGGTACCTCTTTCCAGGATATATTTGGAGAGTGTTCCATTTGACTCTAACAAGAGACTAGTAGTCCACAAGAAAAATACCCAGTGGTCTTCAACAGCCAAGGCTTATGGGGGAGGGGAATCAGAGAGGCATGCATTCAGTAGTGTAATTCCTAAACAGAGTTATGCCAAGTCCCTTGCAGACAAATGCCATATGGTCTATACCAGCAGTTCCCAACATTTTTGGTATGATAACCCACAAGTCCAAATTTACTTGTTCTGGTGACCCATCCAAGCTGTCTTGGCACCCTAGGCAAACTATGACCATGGCACCCATGGTTCAGCATTCGGTTTTCTGCCGTGGACAACCAGATGTTTTTGAGAAACCAACAAACATTGCAGAAAGGGTGCAGCTGCCCCCACTATGAATTCCAAGCAAGTGTCATTCTGACATACACAACCTTTGCCTATGGAGGTTACATTCCACCCGCTCCTTCTCCATTATTCTTTCTAATCCCCCCAAGGGTCTAAGAAACTCTAGGACACATCAGGATGCATTTTACTTGATTCTTTATAAATCAATATGCATATGCAGTGAAGAAAAAACACCACCTACTGTGTGACTCAGAAGCTTCTGTTTCCAGAAATCAGGACTCAGATTCCAAAATAGGAAAGAAAGTGAGGGAAAGGGCAGGAGCAGCCTTTCAGGAGGGCTGGACCCTGACTCACTTTTGGGTCCTGACCATAAACACTCCTCTGTGGAATGATCACCGGCTGCAGGAGTTACACCTTTCTAAACCCATTGAGAGCCAGTTTGGTGTAGTGGTTAAGTGCGCAGACTCTAATCTGGGAGAACCGGGTTTGATTCCTCACTCTTCCACTTGCACCTGGCTGGATGACCTTGGGCAAGCCGTAGTTCTGATAAGAGCTGTTCTTGAAAAAGAGCACTTTCTGTAGAGAGCTCTCTCAGCCCCACCTACCTCACAGGGTGTCTGTTGTGGGGAGGGGAAGGGAAAGGAATTTGTAAGCCGCTCTGAGACTCCTTTGGGTAGTGAAGGGCGGGGTATAAATCCAATCTCTTCAATGGATTTAAAAGATATAACTTGGTTCAGGATCACACCGTAGCTCGCCAAGAATTTGCTGTCAACCCAGAGCATTTTCAGCATGTGCTTTTCAGAGACTGGGCTCTTGCTTATATGTTTTTCCCAACAGCAGTTTTGAAGGGTTCCCGCTTCCTCCTCTGTGTTTAAATTATAAGCCCTCCAATGTCTGTCTTGAAGAGGAAGTGCTTTTCAAACAATGCAGGCTTGTAAAAAATAGCCAGCTGCTGGATTTATGACCTCCAAGCTAAACACCCACAGGAACCAATTCAAGTGTGCAGATTGAGAAGGCCTGGGCTGTGTTTTTTATTTTAGGATTTGACACCCTGTAATTAGGCCTGTTATAGATGACATTATAAAATTTTTAATTTATTTGGAAGTAAGCCTCGGTCAAGAGAAAGTGCTAGAAATTTCAATTACATTTGCGTTGAAGACATTTATGTATTATTTGCTTGCTTCATTTATACCCCATCATTCTTCCAAACTGGGACCCAAAGCAGCTTATTGCATTCTCCTCTCCTCCATTTTATCCTCACAACAGTCCAGTGAGGTAGGTTAGGCTGAGAGGGAGCGACTGGCCTAAGTGAATCAGCATGCTTGCACAGCAGCGCAGGGATTCAAATTTGGGTCTGACTCTCTAACCACGAATTACACGAGCGACTGGCCTAAGTGAATCAGCATGCTTGCACAGCAGCGCAGGGATTCAAATTTGGGTCTGACTCTCTAACCACGAATTACACCGGCTCTCCAAGTGGAGATTAGAATCTGAGTCTCTCCAGTCCAAGTCACACGTTTTGATCTTCTCAGTGCAAAAACTGTGGCAAATTGAACCCATAAGGCCCAACCAGTGAGGCCTGAGACAGTCAGCATCGTGTCGTGGGTTATAGTGCCGGACTGGCTCTGGAGAAATGCCCACACGGCCGTGATGCTTCCAGACCGGAGGCCACCCACCGACCTCCGGAAGGCTCATTGTTATGTCATTTTGAGTGTGTTGCAGGGTTTTATTTGAGCAATGTTTTAGAAAGGGCAGCCTAGACATATATTAAGTGGACGGTGGGCTGTATGGCCTGACTCCATACAGCGGAAGCCAACCAAATTTTAATTGCCATTTTCCCCCAAGGCAAAGCCAATGTGTGACTTTCGCTGAAAGCCAGGGGCCCCTTTTGGGTAAAATGAAGACACCCAACAGTCCGTGTAAATATGCACAAGGTTCCTACATGTTAGTCAGCTGCAGGAAACACAGAACGGAGCCTGGGGGCACCTTCAAGACTGTCAGTCTTCCCAAGGGACACAAGGTTATCGCCCGGGCCTTGCAGCCCCACCAGTGATTTTCTCCAAGGGCAGGTCACACACTGCATTGTTCCCAAAGGCAAGCATTTCTACCTTAGACGCGAGCTACTGATTAACGGCAGAAAATGCAGCAAGCAAGGGGGGGGGGGGAGAGAGTCTATCGTAGCTTTTTCAGGACCAAAAAGATACACGGCCTCTTCTAATTGTAAAACAAAAAAAAGAAAAGAAAGGTCAAGAAGGTAGTCCTTTGTATTCCCCTGGAATTTCTAGCATCATAACATGGGCACACAATGGGGGGTTTATGGGTCTTACAGAATGTAAACAGCAAGGCAGCCGCTTTCATGGAAAGAAACAGGGGCTGGCCCTGGATGGCAATGCCTCTGGAGCACACCCCATAACTGCACTGAAAGAGAGTACCTGAATCTGATGGAAGCCAAAAATGGCAAGCAGCCATTTTGGCCCACTAGGGACCCTTTGGAAGAATCAGTTGCAGAATATTGGGACCAGGTAATAAAATAGGATGAAATGTCTCCAAACTCGACACCTTCAGAGAAGATTTTAAACCAAAGGGACTCCCACAAAGAAAACTAGGAGAGGGGGAAATGTTTTGGCAGCAGCAAGACAGCCTGTTATATAGTCTGCAAATGAGATGGAAGAACTGTACAGCTCAACTCCCTACGTGTTTACTTGCAACTAAGGCCCAGGCCTATTGGATGGCCACACTTGGCCCACTTGGTTTTAATGGCTGTTAAAACTAGGAAACCATGGCTTTTCTCCCTTTGAAACAGGCATCTAAAAATAAACAGTAATAATCCAGATTACGGCAAACTGTTGCAGAGCAGAAAAGAGCAGAAAATGCAGCAAATCTTGTTGCTAGAAAACTGAGATTGTATCTTCTGCACCATCTGAAATTACACAAAGGTTTCTTTCGGTGGGCAGCCATGTCCGTCTGAATCAGCAGAACAAAACTGGAGTTCAGTGACACCCTTCAGACCAACAAAGAAGTTTTTTTCAGGGTATATGCATAGGAAAGCTTACCCAGAATAAAATTTAGTAAGTCTTAAAGGTGCCACTGGACTCAGACTTTGTCTGTGGGTTTCTAGTTACTTATGAGAAGTTTCAACAGATTGAAGGTGTTTCCCTCTTTCCTTAGAAAGATAAGGTCCTGTTTAGAAGCAATTAAGATTTTTATTCCAAATGAATGTAGTTAAAATGGAAGTTTTCATTCCATCCACTTTACTGAATGAGCTTTCCCTGTTTTATCTGGGTTGCGGATCTGGATTTTAGTCCTTTTGCCCTGAGCAGCTCAATTTCAGGATGGTTAGAACTGTAGTGTAAGCCATAAGAACAAGGCGCTCTAGCCTAAATTGGAGAGCAATTTTGATGGGAAAATAACATTTAAAATAACTCTTAATGTGAAATAACTGGACTTCAGTGTTCCCTCTAAGCTGAGTTAGTGTGAGCTAGCTCACAGTTTTTTAGCCTCCAGCTCACACATTTTTGTCTTAGCTCAGGAAGGAGGGCTCTAGAGCAAACTAATTTGTGCAGCAGCCAAATCGCTGGCTCACAACTTTAATGCCAGTAGCTCACAAAGTAGAATTTTTGCTCACAAGACTCCACAGTTTAGAAGGAACATTGCTATGGATCTTAAATTCAGGTGAGGGATCCAGTTTGAGATTAACTCCGAAGTCACACCCCAAAACACTTGCTTCCAGCGCTGGCTATTGAGGTGTCCCAGTGTGTTTACAAGTGGCACTACACATTATTGTGTTATTCTGTCCTTATACTGTTGTTTTAAAGTGCGTAATCCGCCCTGAGTCTCGGTGACAAAGGTGGACTTTAATCGAAGCTGAGCAGGGACGGTTGTGGTTAGTATGTGGATCATGGGATACTACCTAAGAAGCCTAGGGTCGCTACTATGCAGAGGCAGGCAATGGAAGACACACCTCTCTGCTCATCTCTTGCCTTGAAAATCCTGCAGGGTCGAAGCAGGGGATGCAACTTGACAGCCAAAAAAAAAAAAAGTAAATAAAACTATTCCCCGAATTTATTTTTCTGCAGAGGGCGGTCACAGAAAGCAGATCTTTTCCAAGGAAATCTGGTCTCGTCTATAACACACCCCTGACCAAATCTGATTCCCATCATTTTAATCTTTTGAAAGATACATTTTGAATGCAATGAATTCGGCGGGTGTTTTTTTTTTTTTTTTTTTTTAAGGCAACCCTATTTCAGCGGGACAAACGGGATCCTTTCCCGCATCCGGTCCGTCTTAGTTTGTCTTGGGGAAGGTGGGGGGTCGGGAGAAAGGCGTCTCCTCCCGGGTTGGGAATCCTGAGCCATTGCGCGACACTTCGTCGCCCGCCTTCCTGGCCAGCCCCCCGGGGCTCGGCGCGCCTCTCGGGCTTCAGGTTGGGCCGGTTCTCTCCCTCCCTGGGCAGGGCGGGGGGGACCGTGGAGGAGGAGGAGGGAAAAAAGGGGCCCCGGCGTCTCCCCACAGCCGGCCAGCCGCGGCGTCCAGGCTGCGACGAAGACCCGGCGGTTCAGAAAGGATCCCCCCGAGCCGCTGAATGGG